AGAATTTTTAAAAAAAATTTCAGCTAATGGAATCCTTGATGATTAACAAATAAAAAAAAGTTTTCAGGCATCAAATGAAAAGATATTTGCAATGGGTATTAATGGAATTCTTTGAAAGTTATTTTTGTGTTTTTTATTTTTGAACAAACAGGTAATAATTACTAGCAGCTGCACTACTTCTTGCCCTGCATCCAGAGCTACAGAGGCCCAAGAGGAAGTAAGGTGGAGGGGAAAGCAATTCTCCAACTTGAAGACCTGCTCCCTAGTGCCAGGCCGGTCAACATTCACGCAGATCAGAGGGAGAAAAAAGCTGGAAGAAAAATGCATCATTTGTGCTAAGACTTTCAATGTTTTAAAAAGTTTCTTAAATCAATGTCTTCTTAAAGTTTTTTAAACTTATATTTAACATAAAGTTGCACAATTTATCTTCTGAGACATCTTTTGATGCTACTTTTCTTTCAGTACAGAAGGACCAATTACTGATGTCCTAGACCACATCCCTTTGCTTTCTATATTACTTTAAGTGTGATCAAGTGTTTCTTTTTCTTCTTTTTTTTTTTTTTGTGGTATGCGGGCCTCTCACTGCTGTGGCCTCTCCCGTTATGGAGCACAGGCTCCGGACACGAAGGCTCAGCAGCCATGGCTCACAGGCCCTGATAAAGTGTTTCTGAAATACATCTTCTTTGTCACTAGAGACACTGGTTTTACCAATATGCAATACTCAAAAAGCTCTCCAACGGTTTAAGTGTGAGACTCTGCAAAACAAACATGAATACTGCTGCATAATTTGCCTTTCTCCAGAAAAGGGTATTACACTTTGTTGACACTGCATACAAAATAAAATGCAAAAATTTGCATTTTCAGTACTTTTGGTTTCTTGACCTTTATTTGAATTTGAGACTAAGCTTTACCAAACAACAGAATTTACACTGTAACTAGCCAACCACAGTCCTCATTATGGAATCTGTGCAGTGCATTTGTTACCTAGGAAACAGAGGAGAGCACAGGCAGAGTGCAATTTCAGTATAGCAAAAGAATTCTCCAATCATGCTAGTAAATAAAGTCCATAAATCAACTAATCAGAAGCAAAGTCAAGAAGTACCATGGAAGAGTTAAGCTCTATGAAAACTTTTTTCAAGGCAAAAAAGAAACCTGTGGGGTTCTTCAGGCGACCATGTAGGTCTCTTCACTAAATATTATGAGCAGGTTTCTTTACAAACACAAACTGTCAAAAAATAAACTGTTCAAAATAAATGGCTTCTCTCCAATCTTCAGCTTATCTATTTTTGACAGTATTTAAGAGAAAAAGCTTCTTTAGAGCCAGCCTCATACATCTGGTAGCAGAATATTAGTCCAAGAATGAATTCTGCATTTTCGGCAAGCAGCAAGGGTATGTACTGCTCTTAAACAACGCAGGACGATAAAGGCGGGAATGAGAGGTCACTGTCCGCACCTCTCACAGTCAGGCCTACTTTCCCAACCAACAAAAAACTTTAGGAAAAAGAACTTGAAAGTCCCAGGTCTTTTTTAAAGAATAAAATTGTTAACTTTTCAGCTTTCCCCCTGGTTATTACTAATGATAATACTAGTCATTTGAGGGTTCCAGGTAACATAAAGTGAACATTTTAAGTGTCTTTTTTTTTTTTTTTGCTGTACACAGGCCTCTCACTGCTGTGGCCTCTCCCGCCGCAGAGCACAGGCTCCGGACGCGCAGGCTCAGCGGCCATGGCTCACGGGCCCAGCCGCTCCGCGGCATGTGGGATCCTCCCGGACCGGGGCATGAACCCGTGTCCCCTGCATCGGCAGGCAGACCCCCAACCACTGCGCCACCAGGGAAGCCCCATTTTAAGTGTCTTTTAATGGTACCGCACTAATAACTAACAAACAGGAAAAGACCAGAAAAGTCTATGGATTTTAAAGCCTATCAAATTTAACCGTGGAGAGCTTAGTGTTGTTAAAAAAAAAAAAAAACTGGTAAATATCAGATTCTACTGCTCAGCTACTGATACCTTTAAAAACCAACTTTACGCAAATTCAAAATTTCTGGAAGCATTTATTTGTCATAGTATCAAAAGCAGCAGAAAAAAATTTCAACCATGAGATGTGAAAAATAATTTACATGCCTTCCTAAACATCAACATACCAGACAAAAAATCAGATGAAAATATGAAAGAGTCTCTGGAATGCTTCTGATTAACTAAAATAGTACCGTTAATTATAGAAAAACAAAGCACAAAACAAAAAAATTAATATCTATATATCACAGTCAAAAAACAAAAACAAAACAAAAAAAAACAGGTGTTATCTTTTAGCCAGCCTAAGTAAACACACCATGCCAATCCCAGAAGACTGTTAGACACAGCTACAACTTTATCAAGCAATTCTCAATGCAGGCCACACTCTTAATGTTTAGTTTACACAGTGACTCCATTAAACCTTAATGCTACAACTGACAGCCATGTAAACAAATACATAAACATGCAATTCAATTTGTTAGCTTATCTTTTTTAATACTGGGAAGAGCTGATGAAGAGTCTGTATCTAAAGAGCTGAAATTCTGGAAGTGTTTTAGAACTCTATTCCACCATTCATGGTAAAGTCTGAACAAATTTCAACACTTAGCCTCTTTGGGCCATCCTTATTAGAAAAGGAAGAGGTATCTTCCTCAAGGGCCTACCAGTGCCTGACACTGAGCTCTGTGCAGAGTTTAAATTCATTTATCTAATCTAGAACAGAAGTCAAAACAGGAACTAATCAAAGAGGCTGGCATGACCTTTGTTAGATGTACCCTCTTCTAAGTTTTAAGTAAAGTGTACAAAAATGTACACTCCAGGCATTTACAAAATAAGGCATTAAATAATATTAATCTGTTAATGTAAAACTAGGACAAGAATCTAGGATACATTCTTCTCCTAGAAAAAGACCACTATTTTAGGCATACTGAACTGTCTCCTCTTTATAATGACAAAAACTAGTTTGCCTAGTTAACACTATATTAAATTGTATATTGTTTTCTGACAAATTTCTACATGTTACTTAACAAAAATTTAAATAGCAAATATTTTTTCCCACCATAATAATTTTCCTTCATGTTTGGATGATAGTACTTTTATTTTTTAAGAAAGATTACATTTCCTACATATAGCTGTACATATAACTGCATGTCCCCAAAACTGTGTTTTCTTTTTTGATCTGCTTGGTAACCATCAGATTTAAGTTTGTCAATGTGGATTCTCAAACAATAAGAAAAAAAAAAAAAAAGTCTCCAGAAATGAGCAGTAGATAGAGGTGAATGCAAAGATATAAATCCACACCTGCGTTAAAAATCTGAATCTAGAAGGGCTTCCCTGGTGGTGCAGTGGTTAAGAATCCGCCTGCCAATGCTGGGGACACGGGTTCAAGCCCTGGTCCAGGAAGATCCCACATGCCACAGAGCAACTAAGCCCGTGCCCCACAACTGCTGAGCCTGTGCTCTAGAGCCCGCGTGCCACAACTACTGAAGCCCACGCGCCTAGAGCCCAAGCTCCTCAACGAGAAGCCACTGCAATGAGAAGCTCGCCCACCACAACGAAGAGCAGCCCCCCCGCAAGTAGAGAAAGCCTGTGCAACGAAGACCCAATGCAGCCAAAAATAATTTTTTTTTAAAAATCCCATTAAAAAAACCTGAATCTGGAAAATTAATTTTCTGGGTGCTTATGCAACTTCATTTATTATCTGAGTATCTGCAAATACATAGCAACTGTTCATAAAAAACTTATATAAATAATACAAATCAGAAATATCACTTACAGTGCTTTTCAGAAGTTATATCCACCATATACAACCCAGTCGCTGGGTTATAAACAGAGAATACATAAATACATATAATAAAATAGGGAAAGCACAATCACAGGGAGAAATGATCAGTTATAACGTTCATGTTCTCCCCATATATCGTGAAAGATCTCATATCTTAACCAGCAAAAATAAGGGTTTTAGCCTGGACAGAAAGTTAGATAATTGTTTATCGCACTCCAGTCTAACCTCCACTGTGGAAGTGACTTGCTTGTTAACTGTTTATTTAATAGGTAGAAGATTCTGTCATGTTAAACCTAAGGCGTCTGGGAAATAACAAAACTTTACCTCCAAAAGTTATACATATATGTAACAATCACAGCCATATTCATCTTTTATTTCTTGCCTTTAAGACCCTATCCGAAAGAAAGAAAGAAAAAGAAAGAAAAAGAAAGAAAGAAAAAGAAAGGAAGGAAGAAAGAAAGCCATCAGAATACTAAAAAAAAACACTGATTTTGGTCAGCCCAAGCTTCTCCTATCGAAGGAAATCTATTTCTCGATGTATTTGATAACAAACACAAATCACTGTGCGCAGCCTCAGACGGGTTGGGGGGCGGAAGAGCCCTTCGGAGAAAGCCCTTCTCCGTCAGAAACAATAAATAAGGGACCCAAGCAATGCACGTTCCTTCATACACGCCCCAAACGCACCTTGGCGTGCCTCGCGGGAGGGAAACAAGTCTGGCAAAGCCCCAAAACACCTCTCTCCCTCTCTCTCCATAACCTCCTCAAGACTTGAAAACTAAGAGAGCAGATCTTTTCTTTCCCCTTTCCCGCCCTCCTTCCCACCTCCAACAAACCCCAGAGAGGGAGCGGGCAAGCCAGACCCACGCAGCGCGCCCGCGGCCGCGGCGGCGACAGGAGACGCTGGGCGGCGGGCCGACCCCGGAGAGACAGCCCAGAGCCGCGGCCGCCGCTCGC